TAGCCATTTCTTTTGAATGCTTGGAAAAGTGCAGTATTGGCCAAAAAAAGCTTAGGGGTGAAATTAGTTGGGTGGGATACTTCTTTCAGACGCCTAAAAAAGGGGTGCGGTCACCCATTGCGATACTACTTCGTACCTGCATCCCGATAGCCTTCCTGGTTGATCGAGATAAATGTGTCCCACCCAACTAAGTTTGCACTGACTTGTTCCTAAAGAGTGGGGAAACGTCCTTGTCTAGTGCACTGCCTCGACTCCAGCGCCATTTTAAGTCAAAAGTAGTAACTTCTGATGGCGCTAGCCTGGATGGTGGAGGGAGTAGACGTAAGCAAACCAGCCCTTTTGGCGCTTCGGCTGGGACCGTATGCTGAATGTTGGGGAGGGGATGGAGTCCCCGACGGTGGACGGACCACTTCAACTCGGTCCTTAGAACCGCCACAATTTGGTGCTTACCTCAGAACTAAGCCTTAAAGAGAGGACGGGTCCGTCCCCTCTCCAAGGCTTAGTCCTGGGGTGAGCAAACCAGCCCTTCTGGCGGAGCTGCTGGACCAGCTGCACCACTTGCGTCAGTACTCTCCTATCGTACCAACCGAGTTGAAGTAAACCGTCGACCGTTGGGGACCCCATCCCCTCCCCAACATTCAGCATACGGTCCCAGCCGAAACGCCAAAAGGGCTGGTTTGCTTACCTCGAGGGAGTAGGGGGGGGGACAGCCGCCGCCGCCACGCGCGGACGCCCTCTCGACGAGATGGTATAAATTAGTGCTCACAGCTCCTCACAAATGTCATATACATATTAACCGTCCGGGACTCCCGTGAAGGGGGGGGGGGCGGTTTGGACTTCAAGCCACTTACAGCACTTAGGGCCAAGCCTAAGAAAGAGGAAGGGATTCTATGAGAGTATGTAAACAATTAGAATGTTTTCCCTGACGTCGCTCCCCTCTCCTGGGCTCAGTCTTAGTGTCACTTACCACCGGCCCTTTGTGTTCATGTCCCCCTCAAGGCCATGATCGCCATCTCAAACACACCTTTTGATGCCCACATTCCTCACTGGCTCACCGATTCTCTGTTTTGCACTAGAAAGTGTACACATGCCATGTCGGCGACTTCAACTCCCCCAAACTGCTTTAGCGTTCACACTAGTTCTACCACTAGTTTAGCGACCGATCTACCTGCCTCTTTTAGTAGTGGTTACGTCCATATCGCTTATGTGAACGTGTACCGCAAACCGTTATCAGTTTGCTCTTCGATGTAGGTCTCTCTCACCTTCCAGAAAAAAAACCACATGGCTTCCGTTTCGATCGTATTCAATGACAAGTAGCATTTAATAACCAAAGTTCTAATTCTGAAGGAGTCATTTGTCTCACCATAGCAACATTCGCTCATGTTGTGCAGCATTCCACGTGTCTACCGCCAAAGTGCATTTCGCTACCAAAAACCACTGTGATGCCTAGAAGGACACAAAATCATATGGCATATTGTTTTCCCCAGAACTGCAAGTCAGAGTCCAAGAGACTGTTTGGTTGCCCTATGAGGCACCTATACCCTTGCAAGGCGATCGAGGGGGTCGTGGGAATAGTCTGAAGGGATTCTCAGGCAATGTTTCAAGGATGCGCCATGCACCTAATTGCGGATCGTATTAGCATTTCGATGTGCTTATTTCCTTTTTCCGTTAAAGCTCGGTTAACCTGCTCTCAGAGGAGGACTACTTGGACAGGAAACGATGAATCGTACTTCGTGGACGCGCTACGCGTTCAATGTATGCAAAGCCGCCTCAAAGGCAGAATTTACGATGAAAAGTTAGCTCATTGGAAATAAGGGTAGAGGTGGTCAGTGGAGCAGGATGAAGAAGAAACCATTCCGAAACCCGAGAAATGGGACCCCTTCCTTGCCCGTTGATTTGCGCATTGATGCGACTCTCATCGCTGTGCCCTCTTCAACACTACGCTCTCTCTGCTATCTAATCACTCGCCACGTATAGACCTGCGGCGAGTGATTAGATAGTCGGTGGGCGTACCCCGCCAACCGCGCCAAGAGTGAGCCATGCTAGATCGCCGAGGTCAAATCTTTCGCTGCCAATTGCGCGTCGGTCAGCACCCTCAGGAGGTCCGCCTGTCTCCCAACTATGCAATTTCCCTTCTTTGACCTTCGTTCTTATCGTGAATTCCTCCTTTAATGTGTGAGTGTTGCTCAAGGAGCAACCTTCGTTACCCGTCCAATCCAGATCTCAAAGACCAAGATTTCAACCCGTCTGCTTTACCAGAGGTACAAAAGGTTCGGTAGGCCTAAAAGGGCTTGAGTCCAGGGACCCACGGCATATTAATGGTGCCTATAGTCACTCTCGCCTGAGCTCCAATGATTTCATTTCATTTTGTCGAGAAGCACGTTCCAGCCTCATCTTTGAGTGATTATCTCGCACATTTTTTTTACTTCTTTTGAGACTTTTTATTTCTAAATTCTTTTCGTATTACATTTTTCTTTTTATCATACTCCCCTTTTCTATTATATCTTCTGTTCATTTCGTCAAGCTTTTCACTAGAGCTATTTAGGCAAAAGGTAAATCACTTCGTGAGGGAAAGACCGCTAAAAATTCGCTCTGGGTTGGGTCATCAGAGATGAAGGCCAGTAACGGTTTCCATTTGCAGAGCACGGCAGCAGCCTAAGCTCCTTGATAACGTCCTACCCTTCTACTTCACGACCTAATCCTATTTACCTTTTTCGCTATTCTAGAATGTCCTTAAAGAGTGAGTTGCGCTATTCTAGAATGTCTCTAAAAGTGCAAGTTGTTCGAGCGAGATTGGAACCGGGCCATTTGGTTGGCTGTTTCGGCGACCTTTCGTGCACGCAGCAGCGTTCCGGGGGGAAGCAGAACAGCGATAACCGTTTGAGGCTTAGTCACTTCCGATGTAAGCTATTAGGTGCATTTAGGAGTTGTGATGAACAGGCACTTTACCTCGCCGGCCGTTTAATGCCAAAACTCATGACGGGTTCTTGCCTTATCATGCTCGAACGGTCCAGATGCGCTCGAGTTCTTTTACCAGGTTGCAAAACCCGTGAGAAAATGGAGCGATAGGTGAGGAAAAGAATCGAATTGGTCTCTCTCAGTGCAAAACATCGAAGAACTCCTGTTTGTCTTGAAGGTTTCTGGAGAATATCATGGTGGCGCAAATCTATAAATTTTCTTTGATAAATAATCCTTCTATTTTATAAAGCGCTAACTTTGTGTGTCGGTTTGTGTATCTGTATGTGTGTGTGTGTAGTGTGTGTGTGTGTGTGTGTGTGTATGTGTGTCCCGCAAAATGAAGTGAGTGAGAAGGAAGCTCATGGGATAAACAAACCGCTAACAAATCGGGTAGCTTACAGGATTTGAGATATCAATGTTTTGTAGCATAGTTGTGATAACACTCTTAGGGCTATATAAACACCTGCTTAGCACACTTCCGTTCATTCCACATGGTGCTGCAGTGGCAGCTGGAGGGCAGTGGAGAGAGGAAGGGAGGATGAGGAAGGGAAGCGAAAAATCTACCGTCATATCATGATTGTGTCCCTTCTACTGTATGAAACACCATTGTGTTGCATACGCGTCACTTCCAGAGGTGTTGGTGTCACAGGAGGAAGGGACCATAGCGGAGGATAGAAAGCTTGCGCAGGAAAGGAAGGTCCCGGCGGTTGACGGGGGACTAATCTGGTTATATAAATATTGAGTTTATTCTTCCACCAGGGAACGTGCGCATGACCATGTTAAGAATAACTCCCTTGTTCATCAAACTCCAAAGGTATCAATATGACGTTCTTTATGAATTGTTTGAAGGGCGGGTTACACAGCAAAACGCATTTGGATGAGAATACCGTTCTTTTTGAAATCTTCACGTGCTCTGGTCATTGAAGTTACTAGTTTGTCAAAGTTGAAATGACGGAATTGTCCACAGCCACGTAAAGAGTGGCGTCGCGGGGTGTGGTTCGCGTAGGACAGAAAGCGGCATCGCATTCGCATTCGCAGCGCGAAAATGTTTCGGTTGCGGGAATTCTCGAGTGCACTGGATGTGTTCGCTGGCTTAAACTCGTGTCCCGGACTAGATCAGCGGTGAACCTGAGGTGCCCGGCACCGAAAGGTTTCGGCGCTGCCTTCGACAACATTGTCGAAAAAGGCCACTTTCTCCTCCTTGTGAACCACACCCGAGGTGCGCCCTCCAACGTTGTGATATAATTCAAATCCCTATGCTTATAATGCGCTGTGTCTGCTGTCACGGTGTCCGCTTGTTACGAAATTCGTTATTGCTAGTAACCATCTACAGAGTCCGGGTCAAGTTTGGGATGAATGGGGCATGGATTAAGAAGTACAAAGCACATGTCAGCTGGGCATAGCTAAGCCCAGAGTGGGAAGGGCATGCGCCGAATTGGGCCGTGCCGACGGTAGAAAATTCAAGTTTGGTTACAGAACAGCCCGAAGACAGGGAAAACATTGGTGAAGCTGTGCACTGAGTTTCCAAGTCCAATAAGGGAAATCCCGCCTGCTGAGTGCGTGGTGTTCCTCGAAACAGGGCGGTCAATAAAAAGCTGCATGACTCGATTAAGAGAATGCTTGGAGAGCAGAAGAAAATCGGTTCAGGAGAGCAACGGGGCGGAAGCCTGTCCACTGTGGGCGGAGCGTGTCCTCAACGAGGCCGGTTGTTGATTACAAATCCTCCATCCGGTAGCAGAGAAGTCCTAAGGAACCGCCGAAGATGAGTAGAGGTTAGAGGAGAGGGTAGTCAAGTGCTGTATGATGGACGTGCATATACTAGTGTGAGCAGGAGGCTTGCCAGCCAAACTTATAATTCCGATTCCAGAAGTCAGGCCGATACCGGAAAAAGGTGGTAGGCTCTGGCAGGGAAGAGAGCAAGTGCTATAGGTGGTGTGGACATGCCATGAATGGGCGGAGTTGTGTTCACAAAATCATGTCAGCTGCACCACTGCAGACCCGTGTGATGCACGCGAATGTGTGCCCAGCCATACAGTAGTATAATGATGAGTGGAGTTGCTATATCACGTGCAAGGTATGAAAGGGCTTGGCTGACATGGGCCAGATTGGGGGTGTAGGATCACACTGGCTGGGTTTCCAACTATTCAATGTCAGCTAGTTGATAGTTGGTACAAAATCGTCCTGGTAGGCGGGAACGTAGACCAGAACCGTGAGGCACCTCATGATCGCATCGTATTAAGAGTGCCACTGCGATCCTGCATGGAAGTGGGATACGTGGCGCATCCCAGAAGATTATTCTACATAGACTAGCTTCTTCCTTTCTGTGCACCCTTCTTATAATTCGTGAAATTCTTTTTTTCCAGAAGAAATTTCGAAGACGGTTGGGAGCGCGATGGCGCCTCGCTAGCGGTGTTTATCAATGGCACGAAAGTGGTGGACCTCTGGGGTGGTTATGCAGACCATCAAGCAGCGCGGAAATGGAAACAGGTGCCAATCCATTTCCTCAAGCTTACTCTTACAACTCTTACTAGTTGATGAAATGATTTCTTTGTTTTTGAGGACACGATGAGCATCACATTTTCGACGACCAAGGCGGTAGCCGCCGTCTGCGTTGCTATGCTGGTCGAACGTGGGCGACTTCGTTACGATGAACTCGTCTCTACTTACTGGCCTGGATTTGCGAAACACGGAAAAGGCAATATTACCGTACAAATGGCACTTTCGCACGAGGTAGTCCTGGCCTCTCTTTAGTGACCCTCTACGATCCACCATTTTCATTTCGTGTTTTCGTAGGCAGGCCTTGGTTACTTGGACACACAGATCACTGAAGAGATTGCAGCTGATCATAACAAAATCAGAGAGATCTTGGAAAATGAAGCGCCGAAATGGGAGCCAGGGCGGAGGAATGGCTATCATCCGTACACATTTGGATGGATTGTTGATCAAATTATTCGACACGCAGATGAGAAACATCGCGGGATCGGACAGTTTCTTCGGGAGGAAATCGCAGAACCGTATGGTATGTCATCCTTCGCCTCGATAAAGAGCTGTTTTACATGTTTCTGGTTATCCTAAAGTTTCAAACTAAACTTTTTTCCCAACTTCTGGAGCTTTGAGCTGTGCACGGCTGGAACTCAATGCAACAACCTCAGATGAGGTCGTGTCGAAGAATTTATTCTGTGGGTGAGATTACAGTTTTCGCGGTTCGAAAGTGCGCGACAATGGCGATAGGGCCTTACAAAGGGAGCTAGTGACCGCTATGTGAGCTAATGGACGAGATACCTCGCGCACACCCCATGACACGCAGCGTGGATTACGCGTAGCGGCTAATTCAAATACGCGCGGTTAGTGGAGCCATGGAGTAAGCGAGATTCAGAAATCTCGTCCGGCTCCGCCTTTCCTACTTCAAGAGGAAGAGAGGAAATACTTGTTGATGGCTTGACAGACGA